TCAAGTTTTTTTACTTTCCCGATTTGCTTCAAGTGGATTAATACAGTTTTATCACTTACCCCGAAGCCTGCAGCTATTTCGTAGTGCTTTGTGATGGATCCGCTTCCACAATAGCCTTTAATTCTTAATTTTCCACTTTGGTCTCCGGCCGTTCACAGGGTTGGTTCTGAAGGACGAAAACGTTGAAACCAAAAACGTACCGTGCTTTCTTTTGCGACACCAGTGCCGTACACATCATTAATCCTTCGAGCTGTTTCTGCAGCACTGGAGCCACGGTAGAACTCGTAGTCGTAAATATACCGATATTTCATGTTTTATTACTGTGATTATGGAGTATATAAAGATTTTTGTGTCGTATTGGGTTTTTCTACAAATGAAAAAAAAATCCGGACAAGCGTGAGTCGAACTCGCCCACCGAGGGTTCATATTTGTAAGTATATATTATAAATAGTTCAGGAATCGAGTCAAGTAGTTTGTTCCGAGCTTTTCGAAGTGCTTTTTGAATTTATGTTAAGGACTATATTAAAAACCATAAAACTCTTTTAGATTATTAATAAAACAAAAACTTGTGATAAGTTCACCGTATCGAACCCAATACGGCTGGTTAAATAAACCTTTGCACCTAGGAACGTATTCAGTTGTTTCATCAATTATTATTTATCTATTTAAGTAAGTATAGTTTAACTAATTTTTATCTGCTTCTAACTGTCTCACCTATATCAAATTCATATTATTTCCGGCAATTCAGATGACGATACTATGTGTAACTTGGTATCTTGGAGTTGATCTGATGATGGGGCAAGAAGGTAAACAGTGTAACTTCGCAGGGGCTACTAGTAATTCCTTTTCAATTTTGACTTAAATGATTCGTCCTGACAAATATAACAGATCGATGATTTACATACGGTTTTCACCAATGCATAGATTTATGATAGAATGTAATCATCATCAGCCTATCGCCGTCCACTACTGATCGAAGGCCTGCCCCAAGGAGCGCCACCAATCCTGGTTTTGGACAGTCCGTAAATAAAGTATTACGGAATTATATCTCTTAGCTAATAGTAGATCGTAGATCTTTATTTATTTAATTAGAGAATCACTTTCTGTATTTTATCTAGATTAAAATTTACCCTAGTACTTAGATTGAACGAACTGAGCGTGTTTCACATTTAAGCCGTACTTAACGCAACAGGGTGCTGCGACACTACAATTGAAAGAAAAAAGGTAGCAAAATATTCTCTGTAGCCCGTGCAAAGCAAAAGGTTGTAAGTAAATTAAATAATTGATTCAAGATTTTGATATAATAAAATTAAACCAGGGTACTTTTATATTACCGTTAATCACGTTACACATCTTGATTATTACCTACTTACTTTATATGTATAATCGAGATTCTTGTTTAAATAAGTGCTTGTGTTTTTAAAAGTTTCACATATCGTAGGAAAACATTAACTATATTTCTAATAAAAGTTAGCACACAAATCTCGTGTAATAGCTTTAGTATTATTAATAATTTGGCTTTGCAGCGAAACGAGGTTAAAATACCCACGACTTTAGGAATAAAAGAGACTGGAAAACTAACGTTAACTTAGCTTACTTCATGAACACGGGGCATGCATGGGACCCAGCTATTAGCCAGTCTCACCACTATACTCAACTTGAAATGTGTTGAACTCTTTTCTTACGAAATTGTTGTGTTCTTCTCTTGATAACATTTATATATTATTGCAGACAAATTCAACACAATTATTTATTCTGGATGGCAACTGAACCTACGACCACTGGTTTAGCAATCCACTACCCTAACTATAGTTAGTTATGTTTTGTTAGTTATGGTACTAACAAATTATAAAAATAAAGTAACCTCCCTATTTAGACAGCCGTTGCTGAGTATGTTAATTTCAGCCATAAAAAGGAACCAGTATAAACATTTAAAGAAGCCTCCAAACTCGAAAACCCTTTAACGGTTAGAAATGGGCTGATGATCTTCAAACCTTGAAACGGAATAGATTTTATTGAAAATATTGGTGTATACATGGAAATAACTGAAAATAATATTTGATTCACTTTGATCATTGATCATTGTATGTAACAATGGTAAATTGTTGTATGTGCAATAAATTATTACTTTTAGGTACACATTTGTCGATAAGCACATCGAGGCTCCGAAATCCGACATAGCTTTTGTCTCTGGGGTTATTTAGTCAACATTTACCACCACGTTTGGGCTCAATAAGGTATTAGTTCCACTCTCCAGAAGACGACACTTAATAAATATTATCGGTGTACAGGTGTGCTACTTCTAGTGAATAGAATCCAAAGAGATGTCCCCTAAGGTATATAGCCTTTATATCCAGGTGGGATATGTTCTTATTTATCGTTTGAGTAGCAATTTTTTTTGTATTGTTCAACAATGTGAATTCAACTACGGTAAATTCACATCATACTCGTATCACCAACCTACAACACTCCACAGCTGGACATAGGCCTCTCCTTAGAAAGGAGGTTTAAGCCTACTATACCAGTATATAGGAATGTTACCACCCGTAAAACTCCGTATTCTTAATCTGTCACCACACGGACAACAACAATCCATAAACTCTCTTGATGGTAAACTATTAGTAAACACATATAACAATAATAAACTATTTTTCTCATGTCTTGAAAATTGCGTTATACGACCGACTTAAAGAACCTAGGTTTGCAGCGCGAAGGGGACCACGTTAGTTATATTGGTAAAAAAACGTGTGCATAATAAGCAATGTACCGGGTTTAATCACTTGCCACCAGGGGCGGCCTTTGGGGATGGCGAGCTGGGCAACCACCCGGGGCCTCGCTCATTGAGGGGCCTTGCGCACTCGCCCCACACAGTAGAAAAATGTTTATTTGAATCTCGCATTATAAAACTAACGTCATGCTACTCGCGCTCGATTTACGTTCGGGGATTCTCCGTGTTTCATTCTGCCTGACATTTTGACAGGCTTCCAGTGTCAACTGTCAGCTGTTTATGATTTTATGTTAGAGAAGCCGTGTGTTGTTAAATTTTTTGTTCCAAGTATCATCATTAAAAGTAATTCCACAAAGACAAAGGCCTCGCAATGATTTACCAGCCCGGGGCCTCGCAATGATCTACCAGCCCGGGGCACAATCGCTAAAGCCGCCACGCCAGCAGTGGTTTGCGTTGCAAATTTTGTCAATCCCACCATAAATGACGATCCTACTCCCTTAAAGTGGGATAGCATATACTTGTACTCTATCACTCTTGTCTTTTCTCAGGTAGAGACTGCAGACTACTCGAGTAGTGTAAATGAAAGCAGATATGTATCTGCTGCAATAAGAAAAGAAGACGTTTCTGCCTAAAATAAAGGCCAGGTACGAAAACATTTGTAAATGTATGTTTCTTTAACTAATTTCAAAATACCCAAATATAACAACAAATCACACTAGTTTACTAGCCTTAAACGATGTAATAATTATAAAATGTTCAAAACTACTTTTTATTTTGAACATTTATAATCCCATTATTATTAATAGAATTCTAAACTAAATCGAATACTACTTTTAATTTCTTAATTACTTGTTATTTTGCTCGCGTAAACATTAATCTACAAGTAAATGGTATATTCCATCGTCCGCGCCGTTCCAAAATATCGCAATTAGAGTTTTGGAAAATCAACTTAACTATGTAAATTTACAAATTAAATTTAACGTTTAAAGATTTTATTGGTTAAAGTTAACTTCTGGTCGTTAAATATAGCGCAATCTAGTTTGAAAGGACCCCCTTTATATAAATGTTATTCCATGGTCTGGACGCGTTGCGTGCTCGGTGGGCCACTCGCACGCGACCCTGCGTCACGACAAATGATACCCGCCGTAGATAAAATAATAAACTTGTTAAATACCTTTATGCACGATTCATTTCAAACGTATATTTAATAACCAGAACCAAGAAATCAATGTTTAAAAAGGGGATTTTTGTTTTCTGACCTGTATAATTGTCAAAGCTTTCTCTTTTTAATCAGGGTAATAGCTTTTCCTTCATTAGTTCGCAGCTTATTAATGGTTTACGTTTATTCAAACATAATGTGGTTTTGAAAAAAATGCATATCGTGACAATGCATTCCGTGTGTTGATGAAATAAGAATACGGAGTGTCACCATCCCTATTCATCACGTGGGTGTCGTAAGAGCCGACTAAGGTAGCAAACTACGCAGGACAACAGCACTGCAAAGAGAAGAAAAACTTGAACCAAACTCTATACCAACCCGTCTGACCAGCGTGGTATAGTAGGTCAAAACTTCTAACTAGAGGCCTGTGTCCAGCAATGGACTATTAAAGGCTGTTGATGTGATGATGTGAATAATCATGTCATTATAATAATACTTAAAAGACCAAACTCGAACCCCCGTCCTCTCTCTGCTAGATCTGCATAACATAATAAACGTATCCGAGCTACGACGTGCTACGAAAATGCTACGAGTCTACAATAAGATTTCAGCTGACAATATTAAAAATGGTGACTGATGTAATCAGATCAGTTTCTCAACTAATGTGCACTAGGAAATATTGTTAAGTAAATATCTTGTAGCTCAGAGGGTGTGCCATAATCAGATTGCGGCAGTCGTAGAGCTTCGCGGTGCGAACGGACTTCGACCGCTCCCACAATATAAACTAGCTCAATAACATTGACTTTCAGGTGGACTCAATAAGGGTAAACTGCTCTAAAAGCTATATATTTAATACATCTATGATTGTTTTTGAATTTCGAATGTATTTTTCAAATTTATTATTTTAGGAATATAGAGTTACATTTCATTTTACATATGCGATAGAAGTAAATTACTTATCAGTTTGTATTTTTCCTTATTAATGAAGTTCTATCCAAATCAGGTTATTAAATTAACACAAAATACTGAGCTTATAAATTGACCATCGTGTCAATAAAACACCGTCAAAGCTCACCTTATTATTTCATTTTGCGCGTATTTCTACGACACCGCATGCCGTTGCCGGCGCTGTCACAAAGCCTTTGTTTTTCACATGTCGGATCTCTGCCCGGGCAGTATACACGTGGCACGACCAATGCCTCGCACCGGGACGCGAGGATCACCGCTCCGTGTGAGGAGGTGTGTGCGGCGTTCGCGCGTGTTGTTATTGTGCGACGGTGTCGGCACCGCAGCTTGTCACAGAGCGTGTGTCGGAGTGTCGGCGTGATGCTGACGGAGCACGAGGCGTGCGAGGCGCTCGGGCGGGCGACGCGGCGCGACTGCGCGCCGTCCCTCGCTCGATACGTTGGCCATGAAATTTTCAGCCGAGCTGCTGTCAACCGGTGGCGGCACGCAGCACACAGATGCCTTGCGCCACAGCCACGCGACACCAACCTACGAGACCTAACCTACACTTTAATTTGCACCACTTTCGCCCACAAAGCTCTACCCTACCGTATAATTATGGTGTTCAACTAACTAAAACACCTTAAACTTTTATAACAATAGTTAAAAGGTTTGTTGGGAATTAAATGTTTGTAATTTATAACAATCGAGTGACACCTTTTTAATGTTTGAACGATAATTACCTATATAAAACATATTCAGTTTTATGATACTCTCATATATACCTATGACTACGTTCTCAAATAAAACCTAGCAGTAGTTTGCTTCACAGTAGTCTCTAAAAAGTTTATAGCTCCTGCTACAAGATGGCTCTACTTGCTATGAAGTAAATCTACTTTAGGAGGGTTTACTGACCCCGTAACCTTTAAATAAAAACACAATACTTGCGAGAGAGAGAACTGAATAAATTTAAAGCATTCAATGTGTATTTAAATCGGATTAATCACAATTATTGCTCTACTTTGGTAAGCCAGGATTTTAGTTAAACTAAGGTGAAAGAAAAGATTTGTAAGGTTTCGTTAACTTTTATTTTATGAAATATAAACATGTTACAGCGACACTGGTGGAAAACTACAAAATTACACTTTAACTACATTCCAAAATTTACAAAAAAAAGTTACAGTTGTCATACTGAGCGCTTATATGTAGGGGAGGTAACAAATACAATAAAAAATATACATAGCATACGCAGAGCACACTAATTATGTTTTAGACATATGAAGATAAATAATATTATGTTAGGCACACCGTGAATCTTATATTGTATGTTTATGGTCACGTTAAAAGAATTAGTAAAGACCTCGGAGAAGATCTGCCAGAAAGTAAACAGTCGCTTTTGTATGGCAGTAAGTACATCAGATTCAAAACCCACGTACTGACCTTAAAACTTGGTTTTAAATAAAAATAAAGCTATTTTTGTTTTGAGTACATGATAACATTGAACACATATAACCGACTATTACAATACTAAATCTACATTTTCATATAGATAAAATACTACAAAGTGTTGTGTACGAATATAGGTACTAACTAACAAACTGCGAACGGTTGTGCTAGTCCAGTAAAAAGACATCTAAAGACGTAAATCTTGTAAAAATCGTTATAAGCCAATATTACTCATTCAATACACAAACATTGAAGTCTTCGAATACCTGTCACATTATTTTTATTATTATATTTATATACATTTATCAAAAACTTTAGATAGACAGACACAACAGACAGATTTTACTAACAATTTTGGTACATCTTTACAAATCCGGCAACAGCATATTGTTCCCGCTAGTACCCTCCTATAGTATTAAAACACATGAACTATATAATGTGAATAACAATATGAAATTTTAAATATGAAAACATGTTCAGATTAAAGCTTCTAAAATGTTTTACAAAAATGTACAGCACCTTGCTATCATACGCACATTGCCTTTGGCTCAGTATTTCACTACAAACATTATTCATTGAGATTCTTATTTACACAACATTATATACAAATAACATTTCACATATACATAGACAGTTAAATTCACAATAAATGTGAACTAAAGGTGGCATTAGAATATTTTATTTACATGAGTACATTACAAACGCATACTTTAAAATGAAAGTTATTAATTTTACAGGCATTTACCTCCACGTACATACATAGCTATATTAAATTGTTTGTAAGAGTTTGAAACTGCTTTTCTAGAAGTATGTAACGTAGACATCGAAGAAACATTCACTAAATTGAAAAATAAATAACCAAAGGAACTTCGTTTCTACGAGGCTAATCATTATTTAGTGGGCAACAATGTAAGCTTTGGCAAACAATTTGGATACATCAAACAAATAAAAACAAAATTTGGATGATTATAAATTATTTGCATGACTTTTCTATATGTTTAGTAAAGTCGTTTCAATTCAATCGCTGTCGACCGGAATCATCGATTACTTTACAATTATTTTATTAATCGTTGGGTGAAGCAAGCGCTAGCGCTAATTGTTCATCAATAACTGAGTCATTTGTTAAGAGATGACACAAACGCAACACGTCACTGCAAAATATATCACTGAGTTCAAAGTCAAAGCCGTTTGCCCCGCGATTTCCCATTGACAACCGGCTCGATTTGCTGCGACTTGCGCGGACGCAAAATGAAATTCAAGTTATAAGCCGTATTCACTGCATAATAGACGTTGGCGTTCGCAGGGAGCACCATTTCTGTAACAAACCACACATTTATAAGTCACATTGAAAAATAATGGCTTTAATAAGATACAAACAAATATGTTTAAACATAAGAATTATACCAGTTCATACGAAGAATACAATCTCTATTTCACCGCTTAAAGTAATAGACAGTCAGACAGACAGAATCGGACTCGCCCATCGAGGGTTCCGTACAATTTTGTAGGTACACGATATAAATAGTTAAGGTTTATAATCTCGCAGTTTTTGCTGAGCTTTTCCCGAAATTAATTTTCCAAAAACTATAATTTATTATATTATATTAAGTGAAATTGTACCTCGTTGATTGATTACGTCCTTTAAATAAAGACTAAATTTTTTTATGATTTTATTACAAATGTTTCTGATTTGTCCCTGTACTTGTAGTATAAGACGATGTTACCTGCCTAATTTCATAGTTCTAGCTCAACGGGATATACCCTATAAATTTTGATTTTGATAAATTTTGATTTGATTTTTTTGCGACATAAAATGCCGTATCTTTTTTTTACGTTAATTCAGAAGTTTGATTTTTTCACAGCTTCAAGAGACTATACATCTGAGGATATGATTTTAATTTCAACTCGATCCTCCGCGCTTTATCGAGATAAAAGGTCTTGACGGACAGATGGACAACAAAGTGATCCTCAGTGATCTATAAGGGTACGGAACTATAAAAAGGTATAACTTATTTCCTTCTAGCTCTAAATAATTCGATTTTTTAACAAAAAGAAGTAAGCAAGGCTAAATGCGGTAATTGATTAATATTTTGAAAAAAAAGTTGTATTGTAAATGTATAAGGATAATAAAAAATAAGGAGACCGAGGCCTTTAAAAGTCTATGTTAGTACCTACTTCAGGTTACCGAACATAAACTTTTTGACTTATTAATGACAACTTCAAGTAGCACTTATGCAGGAAAACGCTACTTCAACGCGGTTGAAGTAGCATTTTTTTTAATATTAAAGCAAATTTTGCAGAGTATGGTGATCAAAAACTTAATTTACTTTTTGTTTTTGTACATATGGTTTATAAACCAGGATATAAAAGAATATCCTTAAAATGTTTATTTTAAATACTTATCAATATTAATTTATACGATATATAAATTGTACATTGTTGAAATATTTCTCTTACAAGATATCTACACTGTTAACGAAATAGTACAGAAATATATGAGTATATTAGTTACATACCTTTATCAGGTAAAACTTGTGCTAAAGTGTATCCATCAGGATCGCCGTCAAGATTGAGTTTGAGCATAGCATTCCGAATGACCTGAGGTGTACGTTCATTGTTTGATAGCATTATAGACTTATAGAGAACAACGCCCTCTGTTTCGACGCAGTCCGACTCATAAGTAACGCGAATAATGTAAAAGTCTGGTCCGGCTCGAACTGCCGGGCTGTTTCCACCGGCTTTACCATTAGCAGTCTTCTGTCCACTGTTAGCACTCGATAGGGATACGTCTAACGAGGGCAGCGACGAGGATGATGACCCGTGCGACAATCTCGTTGGCGAAATCCGTCGCTCTAAGCTATCTCTTTTCCACGCAGTGCCGCTCGTGCCGTCAGTCTCACAATAAAACTGAGAGCTATTGCTCGAGCTAGTACTCGCTATAGAATCATTTTTTCTATGGCCCTGACTGTTAGAGTCATTCATCTTCTTTGGTCGTCTTTCCTTAGGGGGATTCGTTGGCGGTTCGATTTGACACGACAGCTGATAGGCTTCTCGGTCGTCAAGAATAATAACCGAGTCGAACCATCTGTCGAACATCGAGTCTAATGGTAAATGGTAAGCGTTCGCCGCACCCTGTAGTAATTTTATTTGAGCGAGTACTTCAAATTCTTTTCTCCGTTTGTCAAAATTGATCAGACCATCGGCCACTGTGTCTGGGATGGCGGTGTCAATCATCGTAAGATCCGTCAAGAAAGTTCCAAGGTAGGGAATCGTCCCGTGACTAACACCAGGAGAACCTCTTTCGTGTAACAGTTTCTGGAGCTGACGATCATTTTCACCGACCGTGTCAGCAAACTTAGCAGTACCTTCACGCATCAATAGTTCCCTCTGAGCCCACCTGTTATTATCTTCACTGAAAATTCGTGCCAGTTCATCAAACAGTTCTGTCTTCTCCTTATTAAGTAACGCCCACGTTTTTCTTAATCTATAAACAGGATTGCTTTGTAACCCTGAAATAATGGCTTTTAATGAAGAAAAGTTTTTGAGAACTCTCAGCTCTCGAGCTATGTCAAGCCAAGCCGCCAGTATATCAGCACGCTCCAGTGGTCTTAAATTGGGTTCAACTAGAACGGTCGAAATTACCCTAAATGATACTGCGTTGAATTGATTGACAGTGGCTAAAACGGTAGCTGCGTCGTGAGCCCGCTCTTTGTCTCGTCTGGACCAGACCGCTCCGAGACATTGATGAGGAACGAGTTTCTTGAACAATTCCATATCCATTCTAGTGAGTTGTTCGGCAAAGTGTCGGTGGGGGACGTGTGGTAAACGGTACGTGCTCGTGTGGTGCGCAGACAAGCGCATGCCTGGCGCCAGGCACATGCCGGCACCACCGATACCAAGTCCACCATTTCGCTCCGTACTGAATAAAGCTAACTTCTGTAATACCTAAAACAAGTACATAACAAGTTATTATTTTTGCTATTTTATAGATTAAAATAATATATGTAGGTGGTGGTTGAATAAACAAAAAATAAATACTATACCTTCGAATGTAGTTCTGTACCAGGTAAATGAACCTGTGTGAAGGCGAGTAGCTGTTGCAGTGCGGGGTGGTAAGGAGGTTGTCGAAAGTCTTCCGGATAGGTGTCCAGCCACACGTGGAGACATGCAACCAGAGTCCTAGAATATCGGCGATTTCATTTATTAATTTGTATATTAAACATAATTCCTATTTTCTTAACTTTATAATATTATAATTCTGAATCTGGCTTTTACTAGTAAAAGGACTTCTCTATTATTTTTGACCAAATATACTCGTAGTATGCATTGATGCGGGCAAAGCTGTAAGTATAAAGCGTAAGAACTAAATTAAAATTGCTCTTTTGACATTCATTCTTTCAATTCTTATGTCGTTGCTGGGCTTAAATGTTTTAAGAACTCTTTTATGCTGAAATTCCTAGCTACCACGTTAGAATATTTCTTAGCAGAAGTATTTGTCATCCAAGACTATCAATATTATTTTTTATAGACCTTTTTGTCTATGCAAAGGATTTATGACAATTTAAGCTTCCTATTTTCCAACCCGCGGATTTTGAATTCCTTGCTCATGTTCCCACGGGAACACTACATTATGTCGGGATAGCCTATGTGTTAATCCAGGGTGTCAGCTACCTCCATATCAAATTTCATCAAAATTGGTCCAGCCGTTTGAGCATGAAGAAGTACATACATACAAACACACACTCATAAACTTTCGCCTTTATAATATTAGTGTGATAAGGTAAACTTAGTGGATACCCCACTTTCTTTCAGCTAACCTTTGGGTGATGCAGAGCCGCTACACAGGTGTATATTTCAAACTACTTAAAGGAATAGTTAAATTAACATATGTAACGAAAAATTTGCCTTCATAAATTTACTTTTTCTTTTAATGGTTAACGATTTCAAAGAGCTATTTATCAATTCGACTGCCTATTTTATTGTGTATGTCAAGCGATCTTCACTGTCTATAAACCAATGTCAATAACTCAATTGTTGAGAAACAAAGAATACAGCTCAGTACAATTTTTATCATAATTTAGCCACATTGAAGTAGGTGACGCCGTTTAAAAATTAAAAGTCTAGTCTGTTATCATTTTTTTTATTAACTGTTAAATAAAGAGGAGAATTATTAAACCGGCAGTAATTTAAGTAAATTAATCTTATATTCAAAAATAGGATAAAACATTTCTAGATTTCTTGAATATTAAATATTATAATATACGGTTATTTGTGTAACGTGAAAGTTCGAAACCAGTTTCTACTATAAATGCTACTACGAATTGGAAAATAACTTTTACTATAAGAAATCACGTAAACGGATATAATAAATAGTTATGAAGAATACTAATGGTTTTTTAACCGACTTCAAAAACATAAAAAAGAAGGTTTTCAATTCGTTTATGGTTTTTTTTTTTAGCATAACTACACACCTTACTAAAACTATAACTGTTACCGATTGTTGTGTTGTCTAGACGACGAGTTACTACAGAACAACCATGTTCTATATATGATTGGATTGCGACTATTATAACTATGTTACTAAAAATGGCAGTGCAAAAGTACTAACGTAGGTACTCCTCCATTTACTAACTTATAGAACAGAGGGCTGTAAGTTTATTTGACTTCTATTCGATCGCCACGGTGACCGCGATTGGCGTTGTGATTGGCACGAACTAAACTCTTTAGCAATTACAACGCCGAAAGCGCTCGCTGTCGAGAGCAAGTTGATGTGATATAAACTCACACTTAGGCTTCAGTTATAATGTTAGTAAAGGAAGCCCATAAGGTATGAAAATAAGCAAGTGGCTAACTCTAACACAACTGCTATCAGTCTGCCGTCTTTTGCAGCATTCTGCACGTGTTACAGACAACATTTGCAACCGATGTTTTACATCGTCAATTATATAATAAGGTACACATTTTACACGCCCGACTGCAAATTATCAAACGCCTTCAATTGCTTAAAGCTACTCTAACTGTATTGACGAACAAAGGATGTTTAAAATAGGCCAATTAACTGTAATTCCGTTTTCAGTGTAAAAGATTTACGATTACGATACTTAAGTCAAGTTTTCTATTACCATGTCTAATAAAAAATAAGTTGTTTTCTATTTTCTAGGGATAAAAATCTATCAATTCGAGGAATTAATGAACTTCTTACCTTCGATGTTGTTGTGAAGTGTCGACGGCTGTTGGCATCACCTCCTCCGCAGCCAAAGCTTCGTATCGTCGTAGAAGGAGGTCCAATACTCGACTGCATTCCGCAAACGAACTGAAATTTGTGATCAAATATAAGGTTACTTAAAAAATAGAAATCATCATTCTAGACAATGTTCAGGTCTATCTCAACTAAAAGTTTGTAGACACATAGATAAAATTATAGTTCGTGTGCTTAATATAAAGAAAAACCTACCGATACGTCGCGAGAAAAACGTTAACATAAGTAGATTCGAGCTCGCCATCATCAGTGGCGAGCGCTTCGACCAGCCTCTCGACGGTGCCGGCCTTCACAAAGCGAACGCGAACCGTCTCCCATTCAAGATGAGAGATCTCGTCGTCTGATTCCTGCAAACAATAATATTCAAATCAAAAAATTTAATTTGGTTCATATAGTTAAAAACTCGCCTTTATCTACGTAGTACGCTATACAGTATCTGCCCTAACACCTAACACTAATAATATAATAAAGCTGGAGAGTATTTTTGTTTGATTGCTTGTTTGTTTAAGTAGTTTTTGGATTCCAAAAATATTTTCGTTATTGAAAAAAGTTGTCATTAAGGAAAGTGATAGGATGTGTAACGTTAAGTTAAGACAGTAAGTATTTACATAGTATAAAATGAAGTCAATTTTTTTTAAACTACGCAACAGATTTAAATGCTGTTTTTACTAAACAACAATGTGATTCAAGAGGCGGGTTTATATGTATGATACATGCATTATAGTAGAGAAAAACTGAGTATTTCAAAAATTTGCATGTAAAGTCCCAAAAAACAGGGTTTTTGCGCTTACATTGCAAACGTTACAAAAATGTCCGCGATAGTATATATCTATATCCTAAGGATAACCCTTTTTTTTTTTTTTTTTAACGTGTGGAAATCCCCTCGGACCGTCACCCCTCCGGGGTTTGCGGCGGGGTGGTGTGTCGGACTCGGACCGACTAAAACCACACGGTGTGCCACTCTGCGCCTGTAACAGGAGGGATCCGGGAACAGCTGTTGTTAAGACATCCGGACCCCTCCTAGCGCCAGCCCGCTCCTGGTGCGGGCTCCGTCTCAATGTTGATGTTCCTCTCTTTAGGCGACGTCCGGCAAACGCGGACGCCGCCCCCTCGCGGCTGGCCAAACTAATGCGGGTGGAGGGGAAACCCACCCCGTCCACCCGCGGCCACACTCAGGGCGGCATGAGGCTGTGATAGGCGCGCCTCCGCCGCCCGGTTCGCCGGCGGCGGATCGGGTCCGAGTGGAGGTCGTCCTCCCGGGCCCTCTCCGCCGCCTCCTTCCGCGAGATTACTACCTCGCAGAAGGTTGCGACCGCGGTAAAACAACTGTCGCTACCGGCCATGGAGCGTACTACGGCCGGTAGCGAGAGATCCACTCCGATGACTGCAGTGAGAGCCCGGCGCACTTCCGCCTCCAAATCCCACGGGGGAGTTCCGGCCAACGCGCATGCCACCTCCGTCGAAACGGTGCGGTAGCCGCGTATGGCTCTGACCGCCATTACCCTCTGAGGGCGCCAGAGGCGTACCCTATTCTGGGCGGTCAGAGCCGCCGCCCACACCGGTGCACCGTACAGTGCCATTGACCGGACAACCCCCGTGTACAGCCGTCTTGTCGCGACGCTGGGTCCACCAATATTGGGCAAAAGTCGCCCTAGGGCAGACGCAGCGCCGACCAGCTTTGGAGCAAGCTGTCGGAAGTGCTCGTCGAAGAGCCACCTCCCGTCGGGGATCAGGCCCAGATATTTCATCTGGGCCCGAACCGGTACGAGGACCGAGTTGACCACGATTGAGGCGCCAGGGGGTGGACCACGACGGGGCCCATGAAATAACAGGGCCTCCGTCTTATCTAGGGCCACCCGTAAGCCCAGCGCCTCGATGCGCCCGACCACCAGGGAGACTCCCCCTGTGGCCAGGCGCGCCGCCTCTTGGAAGTTTGCCCCCCGGGCTGTCACCAGGGTATCGTCTGCGTAACAGATTACACCCAGCCCGGGGGGGAAATCGGCGCGAAGGGCCCAGTCGTACCCTATGTTCCACAAGAGGGGTCCAAGAACAGACATGGGCCGACACCTCAAATTACCTTCTCGGTCCTCGTACACGACGGTACGCTTCTCTAAATAGTCTGCCACTAGCCGCCTCAGGTACTTTGGCACCCCATGATAGTGGAGTGCTTCCCTAATACAGCTGAATGGCAGACTATTGAATGCGTTGGCGATGTCTAATGACACCGCCAACAGCACGCCGCCACAGCTCACGGCCTCTTCGGTCACGGCCCTCAGGCGCAACACGGCGTCGACAGTCGAACGCCCCGCCCGAAAACCAAATTGGGCGTCCGACAGATCGGGGCCCACCTCGCAGAGGTGCCGGACGATGCGGGCAGAAAGAACCCTCTCAAACAATTTGCCCGCCTCGTCCAGCAGCACGATGGGCCTATAGGCCGCGACCGAATCGGCAGGCCGTCCCGGCTTCCTCAATAGGACCAGCTTCCCGCTCTTCCAGCACTCAGGGAAGCGTCCCAACGCCAAGCGGTTGAGGCGGTCTGCCAAGTGGTTGAGGGCCAGGGCCAGCACTCGGGCCGGTACCCCGTCTGGCCCAGGGGCGGTGTTCTTGGAACGGATCCGTAGAACAGCCGCCCCTACCTCCGAATCCCGGACGGGCGGAACATTATCCTCCCCGTGCTCCCCGTCGTCTCCGGCCGGGGGAGTGTGTTCCGCTCGTTATGGGAAAAGGCCCTCAACCACTTCTCGCAGGAAGCTGGGCTGGAGAGTCTCCGTAAGGGGGGGGCCCGACGCGCGGAGCTTTTGTCGCACCGCGCGGTAAGGGCGACCCCAGGGGTCACGATTAAGACCCTCCAGCATCTCCTATCTTTTTTCTTCAGACTTTTCCGCGCCTGTCGGTACTCCTCATGAAGCCGGTCCTCCTCACCGTCTCCACGGTGACGCCGCCGACTGCGCGTGTAGGACCTCCGGGCACGTGTACAGGCCGCACGGAGGTCCGCCAGCTCCTGGGACCACCAGTAGACCTCCTTCCTTGGAGGCCGACGACCTCGAATACGGGGCATGGCCGCATCGCAGACATGCGTAATCGCATCGCGAAAGCGACCAGCCCCCACGTCGATCTCCTCGGTCGGAGCCTGAGGAGACAGCCACGAGTGAATTATGGCTGCCTCCTCTAGTAGGTCCCGGTTCAGTCTGGCAACAGCCCACCGCGGAAAGCGGGATAAACGCCGCGCCACGTGACTAAGGATAACCCACAGTAACCCTTTTTCTCTTTGACATGCTACAAAAAGTTATGGGTAATTTACGAAGCTATTTTGAACAACACAGTATTAATCGTTATCCAAATAAATACGTAAGGTGAAATTGCCTTTCACACAATATCATTAAAATGAATATCTTAGTAGATATCAGAGATTTAAAATGCGGAGACAATGCAACCGTCGCCGCGTCGGGCCGTACGTTTGTTCCGGGTGGCAGCCGCCGGCAGGAGCGGAACAGGCTTATAATTATTGCATATAAAGATGTCCTGTAGTACAGTCTTATCATAATAATAAAATAATTATATACTCCACACTGACACCACAGTATTATTACTAGTATCTACACTGCAAATCACTATAAACGCGGGTTGTACTACAAAGAATAGCTGTAATTCTTAAAGTAAAATTTAATTATAACATTGTTCTGGGTCGATCTACTACACAATGACTTTAATATGCTCTGATAAAATAGGCAAAAGAAGTCATAAGTCGGCGGCTGTGTCCCAAATTTTTATTAATTTAAGCTTAAACAATCCCATTTTCTACTTTTAAATAAATAAATACATTATTTTTTTAATTCTTTCTCGTAATCTACTAAATCTATCTCTTAAAGTGTTTTGGTAAATAAAGTTACCTGCAACATACTGCCGGCCATAAGCCCTACATGTAGCTGAGTAATAATTATTATACTCGTAATTATCAACGTACAGTAGTTATTACGTGACCAGTCACTAACGCAATCAAAAGAATACCTACCGTTACTTTACCAAAAAATATGTAAAATAACAAATTTATCTTATTCATGGGAATTTCATAAAATATTAAAGTCAGACTAAACAATATAATAAATGACTCATACCTACTGATGTTTACTTTATACAAATTGTCTTGTGAATAACTTTGGAATAGCCTGTTTTGAATAAGTTTGAGGATAATTTTATCACAACTATGTAGTGCTAGTAAGTGTCATTTGAGATATTAAAAATTACAGTTTTGTTTTAACATAATAATACTCGTACATTGTATAACCAACTTTCACATAACAAGCATTTTATGCAAGAGCCGCCGCATTTCACATAAATAGGTACTTTGAATTGTACAGTACTTCCTATACAAGTACGACGATAAAGCTGAGCAGTGTGTGTGATAATTTGTTTTCAGACGTTAATTTTTAAAACTGCTGTTTAAAAATAAACAGTTTCATAATATCAACTGTTTTAATGTATAATGCATCAACTCCAGTATTGCCCTCACTATTACAAGTATTATATTAAAGGCTTGAATAACGCTTAGCATCCACAAAAACATTGACCTTATGTACAGAATTGTATTAAAACAATTCTCAGCAGTGACGCCAGTCCTGTTTGGACTGTTACACACACTCACATGAACATAATACATATGTATTATGACTACTTTATAATATACCTAAGTACACCTGATATTTCACTCTTCAATGTATCGAACATAAGAGGCAATTTACCAGGCATAGTTGTTGGGTAGGTATTATTTCATAATTATATGCTTTATTCATTATAACGTGACTACTAAATAGCTGGGTTTTTTTTTATTTAAACCTTAATCACAAGTGGTGACATAAAGATAATTTGCACGTAGACGTAGTTTTAGGCTCAATACATATCGCCAGCTGGAAAACAACAAGTGAAACTTTATCAAAGCCATTATTCAATATGAATGAAACGCTGAGAACAAAGTACAAAACCGACTGTAATCATAATAACACACTGTTCAAAGTACCTAGTGTAATTTTATACAATTTACACGCCAACCTATTGTGGGACCGGTGAACAAAGTGATTGACTATACAGAAATCTGAAAATATTCACACATCTGGCATTAACTGCTGTGTTCTCGGAGTTCTCGTAATTGTTACAATTTTGCGTTTTCTTTTTTTTAACTAAACGAGGATTATGAAGGAATACATGAAGACAGGTCTTTACCATAAGACAGACACCTTTTGAAAAAACTTGAAACAAAAATGTATTCATCATCAATCATCATCAACAGCCTATACTAGTCCACTGCTGGACATAGGCCTCTCCTTAGAAAGGAGGTTTAAAATGTATTAATCATCATAATTTTTTTTGTTAGTTGTATCAGAACTACGTCATTTATAAACCGATTTCAAAAATCTTTTTCTATTTGAAAGCGTCACATACTGCCCGTTTAGTCTGATTCGAATTCGAATAGAAAAAAAAACACTCTAGGGTGTAAATTAGGGATTAACGAATACAGTTTATTAAAATTAATCAGAATATGCATTGATGTCAGTGATACTGTTCTATGTTGCAATGCTGTGTACGCTAGTCTGTCCGAAAAATAATATAGGTACCACAATTATTAGGTTAAGTAATGTAAATGAAACTGTCTGTTACACACATAACCTATGACATATATATATGATTCATTATGTCAATTTATTTGACAATAGCAATAGATTTCGACGTAGTTTGAATAGTATTTTCAATTCTTAATTGGTTTTGAAATTATAATGTAAACAGAATTGAATGAACATCTGGCAACCTATTCATCGAGTCATTGTTGATATAATAAATTTACGTAACGTTATTTATTCTTATCTTGAGAAGGCATTGTCATGACACAAGAGTTTGCGAGAATATAAACATGGGAATGTAGAAGCGCTTCTGCTACGTAGCAGGGTGATTCTTCGCCTTTTTACTTCTGCGACATTACCCGCAACATAATAATTGATTTGAACAATTGACAACAAAAAATTGAATGATGATGATTTGAATTTAATTTCTGCGGGTGGTAAATGAAATGAATGAAAATAAAAACTAAGAATTAAAAAGAACGAATATTTACCCAGCAATACTTTAGAACGCCGTGTTAAAGTGAAACACATTATTTACAATCCACATAGGTTACAATTACTTGACACCATTCTGATTTTAATTGAGGCCGTGGATATTAGTACAAGACTGTATTAACGTCAACACTTCTGTAATAAATGTAATGATGGGCAAGCATTCGATTAAGTACCTAATCAATAAATTTATTTTAATTATTACCACAATAAAGTTTTTTTATTGATAATTGCAATAGTAAATCCTATTTGGTTACGATACGATACGATACGATACATACTTAGAAAAATTATATAATATCCAAGAATATATGTAATGCGTTTTCGAGAAAAGCTATTAATATTCTTATTTCAAAACTCATAATAAAGAAGTTCAAACATGGGCAATTAAACCTGTACTGCTACGCTTTTTTTTTCATGTGCGGAAATCCCTTAGGATACCACCAACCGGTGGTGATGTCAGACTCGAACGGACTAAAATCTGCACACCGTCTAGGGTACCAGTAGCCGGGGAACCAGGTGTACCCTAGGAAGGAAATCCCTATTACCCCGTGCCGTCTACGACTTGTATATGACACCCTCGTGTGTGGGAACTACGGTGTACCCGTTCTACAACCTAAGCGTGTTGGCCTCTAGGATGACAGATGGCCTAACCTGTCACCCCCAGACCTGCTCTTATAGAGGACAGAGCTCGTTGTTCAACGTCCGGCGCCTAAGTCGTGATACTGTTACACCTGGGTCTATCTATCCGAGAAAGCTGAAGGGCAAATTAAAAGTTTTTTTTTTAATCTGGCAATAGAACCTCACAAACAATTTCAAAGCTGTTGTATGACATACTAAAGTAGTAAATGAACCATACGATAGCCAACTAACGTATAGTTTACTTCTGGCATGGCCTTGGTTACTATTGTCACTCATCCGGGATGTTAATAGACAAGCAAAAATTGCAAACGTACTCACCCAACACTTTAGGACTGTGTATCACATTATCCAAACATTTAGAAAGGTAGTCAATTTTCAATAATAGTATTAAATGGCTTAGTGTTTATTTTAGGATAAAATGAAGATATTGTGAGCATTAAATATTTTACTTGAATGTAAATACTTATTGTAATACTTTTTACTATTTTAATAAATGCACTGATAAATAAAAACCTAAATAATATGATAAACAACGCACACTGAGATCGAAATCTATGTATCTAGATGTTTTATAGTCATTTAGATGTAGGTATATGTATATCATTCATCATTGTCGCACCCTAAATATTCATATATTAAAAAAAAAAGAAATGAAGTTGTGGCAGTTTAGCTCGTTTCGGTTAGCTGTTGAGATTTGGCAAGAATGGGATGAAAAAGTGACCAGGTTAAAAGGTTTATAAAAAATAGCACCTCCTCGTAATAGAATGTAAAAATAATATTGTGCGACAGTTGAATGTTATGTGCTGCTTGGTTTTTAAATACAAATACATTTTTTAAATACATTGAACTTACAAATTCTTTTGACGGGCTTGTTGGTAATCAGATGTACATACAGATCCGTTGTGCATGATATTTTTATTCATAATTCATATTATTAATAGGATTGAAAAACAAAGGATATGTTTGTAATGACCTTGTTCACCGCTTCATACCAACTGATTTACGAGTTTTGCAATCATTTTGTATTCCACAAAATGTTATCGCGAATCGTAAATCGGAACGGTAACGTACTGCACAAACGAACACAATAAAAAAGAAATTCTAATATTAACTAAATCGCACGTTTTTTGTTCGAGTTATAAAAAATCAAAATTCTGAGTAAATATCTAGAGGTTTTACATGAAAGTGAGATCGGCCAGAAAACAATATATTTGTACTGGTTCATCAAATAATGTATCTAAAAATGATTTACTCTAACTCATCTTATTTATATTTTTACTAGATTATTTGTCGTAGATGACAAGAATAATTCTCTAGGTATTTGCTATACCTCTGATGGTAACAATGATGTATAAAAACCAAGACTCAGAGTATACCCACGTATAATAGATATTTAAATCTAAATTCTAAAACTCTTTGAAAGGTGTTAAGTATTTTGAGTTGTATAATATATGCCTATATGTGTAATTTATTACCAATATGATATATAGGATTAGTCGGGGTCACGGAGGTTCAAAAAACATATTTTTTGAATCCTAGATGGAATTCAATGAAATCGGGCGGAAACTGAAGGTTCTACATCTCTATGTTGTAAATTGACGAAATTGCGAACCATTAAGTGTTTTATTGGTAATAACAATAAAAAAAATGTTTTTTTTTTTAATTTGACTTAAATTTAATGTTAACACCTATACCGATTCTAATTGGTTTCATCGGGATCCATTTTCGGCGACTGGATTTACAACGTTCTAAACTTTCAAATTAACAACTTTGTAACAAAGCGGACCGGGTGCATTTTGTTAACCATTCTAATACCTATCTAATACCCAAATGGCAACGATGAAAAACGATTTCTTCCCTCATTTTTATTATCTTTTTGTTTTTCGCTTTTTACAACTTTTCCGTATGTATATATATAGTATCTTCATCATCAACAGCCTTTAATAGTCCACTGCTGGACATAAGCCTCTCCTTAGAAAGGAGGTTTTGGCCTACTATACCAAGCTGGCCAGACGGGTTGGTATAGGGTTTGTGTTTTTTTGTATAGTATCTTAATTTCACAGTATTGTTAAATATATTAGAAAATAGTCTTCAGTAACTAGTAAAACTTACACTAGAAGCGCTCCTCGTTGGCCGATGATAGCGAACTTTCTTTAGGTAGACGGTGTAGATGGCGCCGTCGACGCGTTCCTCGCCCCACAACCGCCATGTCGGCTGCTGGAACACACCACCAACAGGTCAACATAATAGTTTACATATAAACTACTCACTACACTAGAATTTAGTAAGAGTTTTTACATGAAAAACTGTAAAATATTAGGTATAGAAGTAAAATATAGCTACATAATTTGTCCTCTTCCTCAATTTTGTTACAACAAATACATCGATTGTCGATGTATTTTGTTGTAACAAAATTCCTCGAATTATTTTTAATGTTATTTTTTGTTGAAAATATTTTATATATAGGTATAAAAACCGAATATTTGAACTAAATACCACAGCTACCTTTCGAGTGAAGTGAGATATATTCCATTAGGAGCCATAAAAATTATAATTATATGGTAGAATTAATCTAAATTATTTATACCGACTACGTAATTTATTATATAATCATTACAAATAATTTCTATGAATAAAATCAGGAAACTTATTATTAATATGATAAAATTCACACACAAAAACAAAAAAATATAAAATACGCACGATTTACACTTCATTACTTTAAATATTATTACGCAGAAATTGGTGTGGGTTGCACGTTCACTTAAAAGATTATTTACACTTAGTTAAATTAGCTATTACCTAACGTGTAACTGTTAAATGTCCCAATAAACAAAATCAAATAAAATAACGGTATACCTATTGGCGATTCGCTTACCTTATATACGTACGCGTGCCTTATATCTATCTTATTACAACTTTCAATTGCTGTTTGTTTTAGTACCGTAAAATAATTTAACAATTATTACATACCTACCTATAGCGAGGCCTAAGGAACTTAAGCCAAACATGTAAAACAAATTTTAATTATAAATGTTTATTTAGGTCTTTAAACATTTTTTTAAGTTTTAATGTTTTTAATATGATTTAAAAACATATGTATATATAGTCATTAACTAGTTATATTTATAATTGTAAAACTGTAAATTGTTCGGATGTCCGAAAATGATTAAATATTTAATAACAAAATTCGGTTACACAGTTATAAAAGTTAACATTGCAGCATATGATACGCATATTTAAAATTATTTAAATGTGTTTGTTGCCTACTTTTAATGCGGTGTTTTTTTCGTGTCATATGTTATACACTGTTTTGAATAGCTAACCCTGCTCGGTCACATCAGATTCATTAAATTTCACGAGTTACTTTCACTACACACAAGAGTCAATGAAATGAATGATGAATGGAGGCCTAATTTTCCTCGAAATAGACACCACCAAGTGCACAAGTCTTTTGTTTATTCAAACGTCTATAGTATCAAGCATATGATGTAGCAACATTATGTGTTCTTAGCAATACGATTACCACAATTTCTTTTAGCTGGAAAGATAAGGTATGTCATCATTAGTTGTATTACGTTTGTAACAGTCGAGTGCTTACATAATCGTCTCCACGAGCGAACAGCACGGGCTCGGCCTTACTGACGCCGCATATCCTCCACATGGTCCATGTCCGCGACGTCACGCGCGACGTCACTCCACCTCAGCTGAGTGCCTCCCGCATCACGCACACTTTCACTACCTACTGCATCGATTTGCTACGCTGTATCCACATGCAAATCCAGTAATACTGTAATTGGATCAACCAGTGTCGAGGGGCGAGCCTGTGTGCGAGTGGTGCGGACGTGCGTGACGCGGGAGAAATCGCTGAGACTCGGACAACGGCACACTTGTCCACACTGATATCCGGCTACAACCTCAATACTAAAACTCTTAATCGCTCAGCATAGTCGACTGTCACCTCTTAAATCACTAACACTCGTTTAATGATCCACAACGAACTCTCCCTTAATAACAACTTACTGGTTTTCTACCGCTCCACGGTCTATTAAATTCCGTAATTATCATCACATTTTACTATAAAGTTACGAAATCGCCAATTTACATATTACATGGATATCGCGTAACTTACTGCACAATCTATTGGAAACTTTCACGCTATTAGATTTTAGGCTGGGCATGTTACCTGTCAACGAGTTTAAAAAATTGCATAACTATACACGTAACATTCACTGTCAATTAAAGAAATATATAAAATTACAGAAAATATGTCGACAATATAGAAGCGCTGGCATTGAAGCGCGGGCGCACGGCGACTGTTCTCATCATGGAGAGATCGCATGAAAAACTCCGATAGAGCACGTCGATGACGACTCCGTGTTGTTCGTTCAATGTAGCTGGCGCGGCAGGCGCTAAATTCATAACAGGGCAACACGTGCCTGCGTATGTGCGAGCCTTACACATTAAATGAGATTAAATATTTACGCACCGCCTGACTATCATAAATCCTATTTGTATGAACTAATAGAAATACATGATTCATTTGTGTACATAAGTCTGCAGCGTTGTCAAAAGCAGAACCAATGCCTATTAATACTTCATTAGCAAAAATGTTCATGGTTTTCGGATATTCTAAAAGAACTATACATAACTGAATAAGATCCTTGTTTATAATGAAAGAATAACTGGGTCAAAATACTGATTCGTTGTATGTACCTACTGACTCGTGAGCATGTATTAAATACTCTTTCCGAAATAAAACGCTTTATTACATACTAATATTGACCATTAAATCACGCACTTGTAAATAACATTTTTGTATTGAGCGACTGCACTTTCATCTTTGTTTGTAAATAGTGTTATAACAAAACAATTTTCCTTACTCAATGTCGTGGAATGTTAACATTGAATCACGATATGGTATTCCAACTCTGTTTCACGATATACAAGATATCTACTGCACAATTAATACGTACAAGATATCGATTGATATTGAACTGTTTTAATGTTTAACTTCGATGACAACAACAATTACATTATCGATAAACGTATTTACGTTAATCGATAATGTAATAGTTTAGAGAAACAATTGTTTAGTTCAGTACATCAATACAAATAAATAATTAAAAAAATATGTTTATAAACGTTACGGGATGGTGAAATATAGACTAAAAACACGCACAGATATCTCGGTCGGCAGTCACCGTTCGTTCTTCACTCATGTAACCATAATGACTCAGGAAAAGAATCAGAGTCGTACTGGGAAAACTGTACATGGCGTTAAAGTGGAGAATCGAAGGTACATGCATTAATCCCGCTTGTGGGAGTTATTGAGAACAGATTAACTACTATACTCAACTACTACTACTATACTACTAGTCAAATTATTTTAAAATGTGCATGTTAACAGTTGAAGTTTAGGGTTGGGGTGTCTACATAGCCATAGTGAGAATAATCGATTCAGATTACAAAGATAATCTTTTTAAGAAGTAAACTTGTGGCTGATCTTTTAATCTTTTTTTAATTTTTATACACATAAATCTAGTGAAATATGTCCCATTCCATTCGTTCAATTCTGTAGTATAAATTCGTACTTATTTAAAAATTGTTTAACTTAAATTAGATTGTTTTATGTTTCGTTCCAACCGTGCAAAGTTGCGTTCTCTGGTCACAGAACGTTAGTATGTCTGTCAAAATGCACTTCTTTTATTAATTTTGAATATAGCGACTGTTCTCTAATAATATTACTTAACTCTGTGGCGACTGTGTAGACTTTACAGTTAACATTACAGTCAACAATTCAATAAAGCACAACATCGCATATATAGGACACCTTTATATTAATTACTTTCATCGTTCCTTTCAACATTTTCACTAAAATCTAGATATTAGATAAACATCGTTTGGTATCAAATAGCCGTAAATTCATTGAAGTCTCTTTTACTTAAATATTATCTTTATCGGTCAATTGTCAAATTTTTCAACTTCTAAATAAGATTTCTGTATTAAAAGTCTACTATATAAACCTATATGACTTAGGTCAGTTGAATCTGCTCAAATTCGATCAACGTTTATTGTTGATCGAAAATGAAAACAACGAAATCATTAAAATTAACATAAAAATTTACAATATGTTACCTAAAAATGTGTACAGACATATCATAAAACAAAATTACCACTGTTTTTTTAATTTCCTTCCCTAGAATAAAAAGAAACTCAACTATCATAATTTTCTAAAATTTTGACCACACGTGCAGGATCTTTTTGTGGCGCCTGTGTGTTTTAATCCAGTAGTAGCATCAAGTCGAAAAAGTAAAATCTTATAATTGGTTAGTTATAGTAGGAAGTTAGGAGTTAGGAATAGTTTTGCTATACCGTTATTAACGAGCAGGAATAATAAGCTTAGCGTAACCAATGAAGCGGGTAATAATAATGCTCGTCCAGATACAAAGTTGTTGCGATTATTTGCGATCATTTGAAATGAATACCAACCAATTATAATGCTGTATAAGCACTGAATGTCGTGCTCAGTAAATCTTCAATTATTAATTATAGAACCGCACGAGTAACTTTATACTAATAATGAAATTAAGAGTTTGGGTACAACCATTACCATAGCTATTAGGTTTTTATTCCTAAAAGTAATAAATCTCTCTCTGGTCCTAATATAGGTAGAGCCTGTACTATGTTAATCAGAATGCTAGTACCCGTAAACATAATATCAGGGTTACTAACCACTCGTCAAATAGGCCTGTCAATTTGTATATATACATATTGGTATTATAAATTAAGGAGAGTATCCATTTCTCATGCAGTGTTGAGCCCAAATCATAATCAATTGCAAGTTTCAAACTTGTAACGATTCTTCGAATTCGAACTTCTAAACATCAGTTGGGTAAAAATATGAACTTTAGACGGCCATAGTTTCAGTTTCATTGAAAATTGCATAATCAAGAAATATAACCTCGAATCTATGGTAGGTTATGATGTTTGCGAAATATTTCTTGCATAAAGTAGTAAAGTAGTTACGCAGTTTAAGTTGTTGAAAAAAAAATCACTAGGAAGCCAGAAATGCACCACAAAAACAGAAAACCAGAAAGTAAATTTACTTGCACATTCTTAAGATGTAATTTTTAGAATCGTAACACAGATATGTACAAAAATTGTCGTTTGTATGAGTGTTGACAAGGCGCCAAGAGCCAGACTGGCGCCTGCTGACCTTGCTTGACCTCTCCATTGTACATAGGTATAAAAACCAACAATACTCTAAGTTTTATAGGCAACTAAAATTCCTAAATATACTTTAGGAATTTAAACTAAAATTCCTAAGTATAGATACACAACAATTTCTATATGATACTTTTTTTAATTTTTTATTTATTGAATCCTGGTTAACGGCCCCGGCTTCGCACGGTTAAGAGAACTTGTTTAAGGTGTTACTTATTTAAGGATACAATTAGGCTTTTACATTGAGCATGTCTGTAAGGTACAAAATGTAAGAAAAAAAATTGCTACTAATCTGAAAACATTAAGACAGGGTTAGTTTTAATCTAAATAAACTGTGGAAAACGATGGTTTTGGTCACGAAAAGTTGTTAAAAGCTATTTAAAATGTATATGGCATTTTTTCCTTATTGTTTATTAATCTTAATCAAACATCTCTATCCTTTGGTGAACAATAGAACATAATATGAATTTTTTTTCGGTACTTTTGGAGTTTAGAAAAACAGACAGGTCGGCGTGGTGGAGGACTTTATTGTATAATATGCGGTCTCAATCATTTCCTGCCAGTCACCCTTAGGCTAACACGTAAAAAACGGTAAATTGCTGTAATTTTGACATACATACATATCTAGGCTACAATAAGATGAGGGTGGAGGTTATACAAATTAATGAACCTTTTGGAAATGTCAGTCTCATACCAGACGTGAGATTGACGTTATTTTATGTCCTGCATTGCCTACTCTTTGTGTTTTAATGCTTAAAACCATAAACCATATTATTAAAAAAGGATATGATTAAAGAAAGCAAACGATTTAAACAAACATTTCGATTCTGCCAATAGAAACGATGTTCTAATTTAGAATGTTTACAGTTTATATGAATTAAACTTGTCCTATTTGATTATGATCGCCAACTGACCGCTTTTTTATTAAGGTTTCTACTTTTGGTACTAAAAGATTTCTAATGATAAATAATTAACTGTTAATTAGCATCATTGAATTAAAAATAGTTTATATTATGATGAATTATAACGAACTGTGTGTATTCTTTCGTCCTTTATTTTCCACCCTTAGGAGTAGTATCATTTCTTCAAATTTAAATGGCATAAAAAAGAGAAAGAGATATAACCTCCCAAATAAAAAAAAAAGCGGCTAAAAATGACGGAATTCTGACATAACAAATATAATAAGAATTAACCGAATTAAGAACCGCCATTTTTTTTAAATTCGTTAAAATAAAAACAGAGACAACACTTTACAAAAGCGTTTTTAGATGTTGTTGGTTTTCTATGCAGATAAATTAAATCTCCTAAAACTTGTAGTACAGCCGAGCTATATAACTAAATACATATGTAATTAGAGCATTCTATTTAAAACTTCTAAATTGTTATTTCAAATACGCTTGTTGTAACCAGGAGAATTCGCTTTAAAGCTTATATTAG